AACAGGTCCATGCTGATCTCTCTCTCTCCTGATCCACAAAATTCTGACACGATGCGTAAGCCTCAAGGGTGGCCGAAAATGCATTCACACTACTCCGGGGAAAGGATTGGTTGAACATGACTGGATTATTTATTTTTCTTCGTTGTCCATTTGATCGTACGTTTCCAAGGTAACGCTTCTAAAGGCACTCTGTATTTTATTGCTGTGATCTGTCAAACGGCGCACCCTCTACTAAGTACAGGTCATGGCCAGATTGGGGGACCGTCCGGTTGAAAATCTGCTCCAAACCTTAGTTCGGCTATTGAATGAATAAGTGCTGAGCCATTAATGTCTAAGTTATAGATATGTTCTTACAACAGTTGTCAAGTAGAAGTAACTGTTAAGAATCTTTATTAGAGAGCAATAAGTGGGTAATCATAGAAAGAAGTTGGTTGAGCTAGGCAGAGGTGACCTTCTTCGCATCCTGCACCGATTCGCTGGACTTGTTCACTTTGGACTTTTTGCTCGGTTTCAGTAACCTGCAATGAAAATTCTCATAACATATTACCGTAACAAAGCCATGATGAAATGTTAGACAGTCTTTCAACGCCTTGCTATTCTACATAGCTAACATAAGAGCTCTCCGTTTCAAAGGCATGGGCGGTCCATCAAAAAGAAGAATAAGAAGCATTTCAAAACTTTCTGAGTAAGAGTCGTTCTTCATGGTTGACTATGGATTGTACAAGCTTGCGGCAAAGAGACCGGACGAGAGGCTCTGACGATGAGAGGAGGAATGAGTGCGGAGAAGAAAGGGACACACACAGGGCAGAGCTGTTGGAGGAAGCGGAACTGAAACCATCTCGGACCTAATGCCGTCACTATTAAGCAGCTCTCCTCGACACTGATGCCACAAATTGTTCTTTTTTTTTACAAATACGCTCATTTTCAACACCCAACCTTTCGGGTGGGTAAAGCGCGTGCTTTCAACTTTTTTGGCGCTTGATTTTGCCAACTCGGTCGACTCTCCTCACATGCGTGAACTATGAAGTGAACACACTCTACATGAATGGCAAGTCAAAACTTCAGCAACGATTAATGCATAGAAGTTTAACCTGGGGAACAACAGTGGAACTTCGGCCAAGAGGGCGTATCATGGCAGAAAATAGCAAATTTTATAATACCAGATTGGTCCCCCGGCAACCGCCGAACCACCTCCCTCCCCCCTCCCTGCGAAGCTTGGCGTTCCTCCTTCCTCACCTTATCCTCCCCTCCTCCCCACTGCTCTCCAGCTGCCACTGCAGCA